GGTACATACTTATGGAATACATCTCATACACATTGTCACTTTGATCCCATTCACTCCTGTTCTAGAAATCTTTGAGCTTATCTGTTCCAGATTCTTACAAATATGTTATATATTTTCAAAAACTATAGTCCTACCCTACTACAGAATACCAGAACTCACTCCTCTTGCCTTTAGAACTATGATTTAATCTGCCTATAGCCTCCTTTCTCCACTGCCATCATAACCTCTAAGACCACTATCCAAGGTATTGAATCTTGCTATAAACCCTGTTTTGATTGTGTGCTGTTGACGTAGGCATAGCTACATCAAAGACCAGAGCCTCAGTCCCATAGGAAAATGGCAAAGCCTTCTCCCTGGAGTGAGTGTACATACTGATAATGCAGAAAACACCTACCATGGCTTTCTCCTCACCCCATCCCACCCTGGGTATTTATAGCCTAAAGACTGTTCCCTTATAGAGAATATATATATATATATATATATATATATATATATATATATATATATATTCCTACCAAGAATAGCTAAAAGTACCTCTTGGTTTAACTGTATATAATACCCCTTCCTCCTTGTTCAGCTGTATATAACACCCCACCCCCTTGTTCAGCTGTATGTAATAACCCCACACCTCTCTTTACTGTACACAATATACACACTAAGCTTCCAGGATTCTGAGGCCTCTCCATCTGAGAGCACAAATTGCCCAATCCCAGCTTTGTTGTGTGTGTCTCTTCATTCCCTGGTTGCCCCAGTTGGGTCTGTCCCTAGAGCCATGCAAGGACATGACAACACAAAGGTCACATTGAGAGACTAAGGAGAGGAACTCACACTGGAGAAGTAGCAACAGAAACTAATAATTTATATTATTTTTGAATGAATACTACTAGAAATAATCTCTACTGCCACCATGCAGAATAAAACTAAGAAGAATGCCATCATATATGTCATACATAGCCTTTCTTTGAAATTTATTAAATATTTTTCCTTATAATGTCTTACAATGGTAGTCATATACAAAATCAAGATGTCATTCCAACACAGCATTTAGGTCACCACACTTCATGTGGCTGAATCTTCCTGTAGATGTGAGGTGATCCCCAAAGCTAAAAGCAGACAGCAACCTTGAAAAGTGTTTGGCTCCGAGGTTTACTTAGTCTCATGAGAGTCAAACTATCCTTTAGTACCAACTCTTCCAAGAACTTGAGCCAACTGTCCTACAGGGACAAACCCCCCTATAAATACAGATATAGACACAAATCTTATACCAGACAGAACAGAAATCACTCCGCCCAGAGAAAATTTTTTCAAGGCTAATAAATATACTAATAGCATCTACTCACTACTATAAAATTTGTTCTGTCAAAATATTTAGCTCTTTCTTTTGGCTAATTAAACTGTAGCTAAAGATTATTAAAATATCATGATCGATCATATGACAGTGAAAATAGAAAGCGGGAGAAAACACAGTCTTCAATTTCTAGGGTACTATTTCCACCCATTCCCAGATGCTTAAAAGTGGTACCTGTAGGTCTTGTGATGGCATTGTGTTTAGCTGGTGTGGCATGTATCTGAGCAACAATGTTTAAGCATTTCACTCTATCATGTATATTAGGAGCACAATTACACAACATATTTCTCTCTTTTCTTTAAAAATGATCCACCAACTAATCAGCAGCTGTAGAACATGAGTTAAATATGTAACATTGCTTAATAGTCTTAACGAAAAAGGAAATGAACCTGGGTGGTCATTCTAATGATTGCCATTTCATAGATTACAGAAAAAATAATGTTTACATGGGTACTAAGATAAATAAACAAAATATGAGGTGGTGGAGGCCACTAGCGAGAACCTGCAACAATCTGAATAAGAAAAGCACCTGACATCTAAGGACTAGGAGATGTGAGGCCCGCACACTCGTCACCTTACATTAGTCCCAGCAGCTCAGCATGTGTGTCCTCTGAGCAGACTTCCATGTCTATCGTAAGGAAGTGATCTTTCCTTTCAGAAATCATCTCTATGGTTTGGAAACAAGAGGTACTCCCAAAACTCACGTTATACTTAGTCCCAACTGGAAATGGGCTGCAAGCTTCCTCGCTACTGGCTAGTGTCCACGGTGCCAGAGGTGCTATGCAATCTGCTGGGAAAGAACCGTCAACGACAGTTCTGCTCAGCTCTGGACCCTGTGTGCTGCACTACCAGCCCACCAGGCAAGATGCGCCTACAGGTGAAACAGTGGCAGGAGTGTTACCGGGGTAACCAGCACTTCCTGGTAGGATCTGAAGTCTGCGTGGCTCTGATACCGTAAACCTGGTCAAAGGCCTTTGATTTGGAAGGTCGTAAGCCTTAACACGCAAGCTACCGCAGCTGTTCTGCTACACAGACATGCGAAGTATTCGTTCTGTTTATGCCCACAGACTAGCGCTGGTGTCAGCTTTCCGCAGAGAGGCTTCTTTTTGCTGTGAGCAGCAGTTACTGCAGAGACTCATAAATACTCAAAGTGCTGAGAATAAGCGATTGTTAAACGCTCAGCCCCAAATCACCCAGCCAAGGCTCAGCGAACACTGCAGAAGAAGGATCAGAGAGAATATAGGAGCAGGAGGAAGGGATGGCACGTTGTGGAATGCTGTCTTCCAGGCATAGCTGTGGCACTCTTGCATTCTCAATACCTGACATTAACTGCACAAGATTGGAATTGTCACTATTCTGTCCTAGAGGGTCAAGGGCTCATACGACCCTAGCGTTCCCTGAGGCAGTGAACGGTTTCTAGGGGGAAAGTGTTCATAAAGCTCTCACCACTGCCTGAGAATCTATAGGCAACTAATGCTTCATGGGGGATGGAGCCCAGTAAGGTAATCATGATCCCGTATATAACCCTTTCACGCACACTCATGTAAAGAACCCCAATTAAATACATTGGTACACACACACATACATGGAGTGGGTGGGTGAAAGTAAAAGGGACTAGTTAGAAAAAAAAAAAGTATCAGCAAGGGTACAAATCAGAGTAATAGGGTGAATATGATCAAAATACATTATATGCATATCACAATAAAATGCCATAATGAAACCTTTTGTGTGTATAAATAATATATACTAATGAAATTTTTAAAAGTAAACACTTCAACTGTTGAAAGTTTGGTCCCCATTAATAGAGCCAATCACTGGGAGTGGCTGGACCAGAGGGACATTACTTACAGTATTGATCTATTAACGGACATACAAACTGATAGCATTATCGGAAGGTAGTGGAAAGTGGGCGGTAGAACCTGGTTTGAGGATTTTGGTGGCTGGTATGACTCCCTACTTCCTAGCTGCCATGACCTAAGCGGTTTTAATCTACCAGGCTCTTCCATGATGTTTCCACCTGGACACAGACCTGAAAACAACAGAGCCAACTAACAACAGACTGAAATTCAGAAATCATGCTCCTCTGCTAGGCTTTTTCAAGTGACACTTGTCATTTGTCACAGTGACACTAAGACTGAATAACACACATCCGAACCTCAGCTCTCACAGCGCTGGAGGCATAGGTAATTTGGGGATCCTTAAAGTTCACCCCACTTCCAATCTATACAAATGGCAAATTAAAATGTCTCATTACGCTACCATCATATTTGGTACATTATGAACATGGGAACCAAGCAAGAACAATCTGAGCATTCCCTGCTTCTTCTCGATTCCTTTTGGACTGTGAAGATGAAGTGATAAGCCTCTGTTAAACCTTCCACATAATTCATAAAGAAAAGAAATTGTGCCTTGAGTATACTACTTAGGCCAAAATTGACCTAAATACTAGTCAAATAAAAACTGCTAATAGTAACTTGAGACAAAACTCCTAAGACCAAATGAAATTACTGTGTGAATAAAAAATGACAGGTGTGTGTTTCTGCATGTGTGTATGTACACACGTGTATATGTCCAGATGCGTGCAGGTGCATGCATAAACACACACACGCTGTATCAGAAGTGCATACAGATCAAGACAGGTCAGTGTATTATTCCAAGGGATTCTTGTCTGCAAAATCTCCAGATTCCATCTGTGCTTCAACTACTCAAATAGAACATATTACACATCAACACTGGCTATGAGTGGGGGCCTTTAGAAAATATGGAACAGAGAACTACTCTAGAAACAACATGAAATGATTTATAGTACGCATACACATCAGGACAAAGGTCCTTTGCACACAGTGCAGGTTACTTGATAAAATACAAATGAGCATGACAAGCTGAGAGAATGAGAAATGCCAAACACAAAATTTCCCATCTTCAACATATTTTCAACACCAATGACACCTAATGTTTTCACCTAGAAACACATGACTTTGTACTGAGGTGAAATTTGTTTTCTTCACTATTCCTGGAAGGAAGCATAAGCACAGGCATCAGTAAACAGAATATAAAATAATGCCATGCCTGCTGGGTTAGGAAACCCTCCCTTCACAGAAAACATTCTAGAGATTCTAGCCAGTAGAAAAATAAAAGAACGCTGTGTTAAATGTACTTCTATTTTTAAAGGACAGAGGGAAGTCTTATTTATGTCTGACTGCTTATTACACTCCAGCTCCATGCAGACAGGAAGACAATTGTTTATCCTCACATCCTTGCCTGCAGTGATATCAGTACCACGCAGAGAGAGAATACAATGTTATTCTTATTAAATGACTGCATGAAAAGAGGGTCAAACTGTAAGGAATCTATCATGAATTGATTAAGCTGCATCTACCTTAGAGCAATATTAGAACTAAAGGGAAAGCATCACAGAATGGGTTGTGTAAAGCAGAACAAAAATGTACTATATTAAGGTTTCCTAGCCAAATGTAGCTTTAATTGAAAAAAAAATACATAGTTAAGTATAAATCAATTCGGGATAAGAAAAAAGAAACCTAACTTGTAACATGAATACATTTTTAAAGCCATAATTTTAAAACTTTGGCATAACTAATCCACAAACTAAAAATAACCTGTAATTGTAAATACTATGCTTTTCTCCCATTACCTGAGCGGAATCTGCTTGGGCTAACTTTGTGGTGACCTTCAGGATCTGCTGAAGATTCTGTCCTGTATCTTCAACAAGCAGGTGAGCCAGCAGTAAAAACACATGAGTGGGGACCGCGGTAATGAGTGGGAGCAAGGACTCCACTGCAGCCAGCCAGTCACACGCCGCTGCCTCTTCTCCAAGCACTTCAAGGACCCTCCAGGTGGTGAAGACCGAACCATACATGCTGCTCACAGGAAAAGTGAGCCTGCAGGAGAGCTGAAAACAGACACAGACGGCATTAAACCACGAGAGGAGTGTGTGTCAGAAAATATTCCTGTTCCTGACATTCACTTATTTTATAATTCATCATCAAAATCGTTTCCTCCAACAAAATAAATACACATTTTGAGGTTCTGACAAATAGTTCTCCACCATATGTGAGGTAATAGGATTAGACAAAGAGGAAAAAACAGTTGCTCCACAGAACCTGAGGACACGGTAGCACAGAATTTTCTCAGGCTTATAGTTCATTCCTAGTCAAGGAAGAGGGGTGGAGATGGATCAGTACACAAGATCCAGAGGCAGCAGAGTCTGAGAAGGGATTCTCACTTTAAAAAACCTCCAAGTGATCAGCAATGAGAAGGAAAATAGACACCCCCTTTCATTTGGCCAGGTCCTTGTGAGTGGCAGCCCAGGGCAGATGGCAGACTTGGACACAGGACAATTCACACTGGTAACAGACAGTATGTGGACGGGAACAGAGCTGTTTCAGCTTGAGTCTGGGAAGTCATTAGTAACTGGGAATAAGTTCCGCAATCGAGAGACGGTACTGCATTTCAGCAAATCTGAGAAAGGGCTCCTCACAAAGGTGAAGCAGCAGAGTTGGATCCAAGGAGTGCACAGAACTGTGCGTGGATGCTTGAGCAGAAATGATTCAAGAGAAGTCACAGCCGTTACAGAAGCATTTGACACTGCCTGCTAATGGGGTCATCCAAATTTCCCAGAGGAGGGTGACAGAAGCTAAGATCCCTAACTGCCTCTAATCGGAGGATGCCACAGAGATAACCACTGAAAGGATAGGAAATAAAAGTTAATATTGGGGAAATGTAATAAACGTGTTAGGATATAATCCACATGTTATAATATGTGCTCTCTTAAAGTTTAGCGTTTAGAAGATTTCAGTAATCCATAGATTTCCGTGACCACCACCAGTACCTATTTTTATGACATTTTCATCAGTCCCGGGGAAAGCTCAATAGCCTTTTCCTACTCCCAGTCCCGGGAGACCACCCACTGGCATTATAACTTCTATCCTGGCTATTCTGTACGATAGAAATCACATACTAGTTTAGCTTTTATTCAACAGACGGCACACACGTGGTGGCTTCCTTTCATTTAGCATGTTTTCAAGGTTTGCTCACGGCATAGCTTGTGTCAGTACTTTTTATTGACAAACAGCATTGCATCATATGTATATGGCTCCTCTTCTCTATCCATTCATGATAGATAGTTGAGCCATTTCCATTCTGGGAGGCAACTACAAACATACTATCAGCATTTCTACAAACGTCTGTGAGACAGTATTAGTACACAATTTTCTTGAGCATATGCTAATGAGCGACTATCAGATTTAAAAATTAATTAGTACTATAAAAAATGTGACTGTTAGGGGGCTGGAGAGATGGCTCAGAGGTTAAGAGCACTGGCTGCTCTTCCAGAGGTCCTGAGTTCAATTCCCAGCAACCATATGGTGGCTCACAACCATCTGTACTGAGATCTGGCGCCCTCCTCTGGCGTGCGGGCATACATCGAGGCAGAATGTTGTATACATAATAAATAGGTAAATCTTTAAAAAAAAATGTGACTGTTCTAGCCATATTGTTAACTAATATGAAAAGATTCATGAGAATCTACAATAGAGTTTAGAATGCTCCTTTTTTCCAAGAGTATGAGGAGAAAGATACTATTTATCATATCATATTACATATCATATATTACATAACAAAACAGTAACCACTAAGCAAAAAAAAAAAATCCAGTTGAAAGACAGAATAGCACTACTAGAAACCACAGTGAAACAGAAGACTTTCATCATGTACCGTTTTATGCTTTTTGAACTATGTGGATGTATTAGTATTGTAAAAAACTTACAAAACTTAAATAACATCTAAATTTAAACACCTTTGTCATATTAAAAATGCTGTTCATAAGACGATGAAATTCATTAATGACCATGGCCAAGTCCTTTAGACTAATGACAACCAATATTGGACTTCATAAGAGACTTGGTCTTCAGGACAACCAAGCTAGCTGCTAGATCTCATACAGTTTCTCTCATTTTATTCTTTGTACAATTTAACTTCTTGCCAAGGTATATGAGCAAGATATGAAGCCATCTAATATTTAATAAAGCTCTCAGCACAATGTCTGAAGTTACAAATACAGGAAAAAACTGTCCCTATCATGCTGGGAAAAGAAAGACAAAACAAGTGGGTATGACTAGAAAAGAAAATAACTGGACATCAACATGAACCATGAATCGAGCCCAAAGCCCATTACCCTGATGAAGATAAACAAGAAGAGAAAAGGAATCCCACATTACTTGAAGTACTATCTCCCATCTTATTTGTGTTTGTCTGGTTGGCGAAAGGTAGACCAGCAGTAGGAAACGAAAATGTTAAATAATACATCACATTAAGATCCCCTTGCCCCAGTGAGTGACAGATGCTACTGTCTGGGGAAGGGTATCATTCACGATTTCCCTACCCTGAAAGAAAACAGATGAATAGGTTGGTACATTCTGTTTCCCAGAGGAAAAAGTAGAAAGGAAAAGGATTTGTATTATGTGTATTTTAGCACAGCAGAAAATAATAAAGAACAAAACCGCAGGGGAAAATATACTTAAAAAATACTAGAACTGGAATGATGATGGCACCTGTAAGCCCAGCATCTGTGCAATGGGGCAGGAGGGTCATGAGTTCAAAACGAGACTAAGCTAAGAGAGACTCTGCTTAAAAAAAAAAAAAAAAAAAGCAAAGCAAGGGGGACTGGGCATGGTGGTGTACACCTTCAATCCCAACATGGGGTGTACACCTTCAGTCCCAACAGACACGAGCAGTTCAAGACCAGCCTAGTTGACATGGGAAGTTACAGGCTAGTCGGGGTATATAGTGAGCCCCTATCTCAAAAAACACATAAAACAAAGGAAAAAACACAATTCAAAAAATAAATAAAGCACTATCTAAGGGTCCGTAAAGATGGCACAAAACTTAAAGAGTACTGGCTAATCTTCTAAAGAACCCAGGTCTGAAAACTGTCCATAACTCCATTTCCAGGGATCTGATACCCTCTTATAGCTTCCACAGGCACATCTGTGATCACAGACAAAAATGCAATCAAAACACTGACACACATAAAATTAAAAATTTAAAATATGTATTAGATAGTTGTTAAAATGTATTTCAATGATTTTCATAAAAGAGTTGGGGTTATCTAGTTTTAAAGGATTTTCCTAGAAGCGTTCAGGTGCATTAAGTGTGAGCTGTATGTCGGACATTTGACAGTCGCTTAGAGCTAAAGAGGTCTGTGAATACAGTGAAGAAGAGCATTAACCTCCAACACTGACTGCAACACTCTTCACAGATAAAAGGGTGGAGACGTGGAAACTCAGCACTCGGGAGACAGAGACAGGGGAATCCCGGTGAACTGAAGGCCAGCCTGGTCTATCCAACCATAGGGAAACTGTCTCAGAACCCAAAAACAAAATCAATAAGTGTTTTTCTTTCCAGCCCTGTGTTCCCATAGAGCATCTAGATGAGAGCTGAGAAAGGTGGGGATACTTGGGTTATCACCAAATGATAACTCACATCATCCGAAAACATAAGATCATGATAATTCACATCATCCTAAAACATAAGGTCAAGGTTTCTCCTTAACTTTCAACCAACTCTCATGAAACCAGTTCATCTCAACTTATTGCTAACTTACCATTTTATTTACTAAAATCTATCTAAATGCTGCTATCATTTCCTCCTAAATTCAGCACAAAGATAAATTAGTGGGTGGAGGGATAGATAGAAATAACAAAAGAAAAAAAAAGAAATCACCAAAATAAATAAATAGGTAGATAAACCCGGGGGGGGGGGGGATAACACCTGACCACCCTGTCCATCCTTTGTGGGGCTCTGTGGGGACACAGTGGTACCTTGTCAACAGAGGGCACAGGAGACAGGCTGCCTCTTTATCTGACAGTAGCAACAGTTCTCTAGTCACTCTGCGAGCACTGTCTAAGGAATAACTAAGGACCTTCACTAGTCAATACTCATGGCAGTTTGCCCTACTCAAATTTCTCTCTTTATTGCTCATAATTTGTGTACATTGATGCTTTCTTTTATTTTCCATTATGTTGGGAGGATTTTCAAACACGTTAGAATTTAAACTAGCAGCTGGTTGTTTTTTTTTTAATCTGAGTAGATTAAAATAAGTGGTTTCAAGTTTCACACTTAATAGCCAAATTTTAAAATAAGGATCTTGTTTTCCACACACTATAAAAAATACTTATTAGATTTTAAAGGGATGAATATCACATTTCCAATTGTGCATTGTTTTATATCTTGGGAACGGAAAGATGTCAAGCCCTATTTTATTTCATGGTTCTCAGCCTTCAGAAATAGAGAAGCCATTACAGTTCTGCATGGAAGGGTACTTAACCCTCAAACTATACTTCTGAAGAATAATTCTAGTTATAATCAAACACTAAGTCAGAACCACCCAGAGAAATCATTAAAAACAGAAAATCCATGGCTTTCAGGGAGAGCTTTCTGTAATAAATCAATAGAAAAATGGCCTAGTCTTATGACAGATGCACATTTGCTAAGAACAAAACGTGCTAAATACTGAATACCCACCATGCACTAAACAATGGATCAGGTACTTTGGATGAAAAGATAAATAAGTTAATATGTTATTTAAGTATGAGGGGAAGAAGACATTCAGTCAGACAAGTGCCTAAAATATTTTAACTAAAGCTATTTCCTATGATCGGCTAAGAAATATAGAGCAAAAGCACTTAGGATAGAAAAATGCAAGATGATCAATGACTACTGCAATTTAATGTTAACAGTTTACATCGATGCCCTTTCCTAACGGCCCGAGGAAGAGCCACAATTCTCCCCCTCCGTGGGCTCACCACAGAGTTAAAGGTGCAAACCTGGATCATCCACATTAGCACGCAGCATTCTTTGCACTAGGTAAATAAAGATATGCTGGGAAGACAAAGCACAATGAATACCGACTTGGAAACTGGAGAAGATCTAGCTGTGTCTGCAAGTTCATACAGAGGAAACGAAAGAGCATTATGTGAGAAACCCAGGATTTAGGGAGAGACTTGGTGAGTGGGAGAGAAGCTGAACTGATAGGTGTGTTTGGAATACAGAGATCACACAGGTACCTGGGGAAAAGAAATCATTTTTTAAAAGGGTGATATGAGTCACTCACGACCTCGATAAAACAGCACAGCATCACGAGGAGGATATTTTTAGCATCAATAGTATCCCTTCCTACTCCCTCAGCACCAACAGCTGCTAAAGAGGAAGTCCAGCTACCCATGCTGATGAATAAGACACACACACACCTGAGCAAACAGTAAGCCGAGTCCTTAGGTATTAGAGTTAGGGTGAACCTCGGTAAATAACACTTGTGCTTTAAAAGTACATAATGCAATGTACATCCTGCCTGAGCAGTAGCACTGGACCCCAGCTCTGGCCCCACCCAGGATCATATCTTTGTGCTATATGGGAAATTAGGAGGGAAGGTATAAAAGGGTTAATAGGATTCCTGCCATCCTGTTTAGAACTTGGACAGAAAGTCCTTCTCTTACTGCTAAGTTGGATGTCTACTTCAATAATTAGAATTAAAGTGGAACAATCTGGATTTGGGAAGCTGTAATACACATTTAATCAGTTTCCAGTGCAGACTCAGGTAGGAAATAATGATACTAGACTCTGGCCGCTCTAATGCCTAACAGCGCGTGACTAAAGGGACCTCCTTTTTCCCAAATGAAGCAACAAGCACGTTCCAGCTGCTGTTCACACTGAATTCCTCCACAGAGACTTTAGATGCTTTCCTGGCTTTATCTTACTTAACTCTTGCCCCAACCCCTAAGAAGGGAATAGGAAGGAATACAATTTGCCAAAGACAATATGTAAAAGGAAAATGGGCCTAGCAGAAATGCCTAGGACTCAGGCATTTTAGACTACTGTCACAGAAAAGGAAGAGTAAAGGGCCAACAATAGGGTCCAGTGGGTAAAGGTGCAAGCTCTCAAGCCTCACAACCTGGGCTCACAGGGCAGAGGAGAGAACTGAGTCCTGAAAGTTGTCATCTGACTTCCACAAATGTTCACTGACACATGTGTACACACACACACACACACACACACACACAATTTTAAAATAAGATTTAAAAAAAAAGACAGAAAGGGAGACAGAGAACACAAAACGAGGTGAACAAGACTACCGCTCCCACTATAACACCAAAAGATTCAGCGTCTACTGCTTCCTGAATGGACCTTCCTCCTCCATGGCCGTACAGTCTTACAAGGCATAAAAAACATATGACAGACCTATTGTCTTCTACTTGAGGCAGGAAAACGTGGTCATACATAAAGACAACAAAAGTCACCGGCTAGGGAGCCTGTTATTACATGCCATATAAATCTTATACTGACCCCTGAACTTGCAGATTCTGAGAAACATTCCCTACCTGGGAGACCCTGACTAGCAAGATGTTGGACATACATCAATAGACTCTAAGAATGAAAGACTCCATGCTCGAGTATGTTAAAGAAGAGTCAAGAGAGAAGGTTCAGGGGTTAAAAGCACTTGCAGCTCTTGCAAAGGACTAGACCCATATCCAGCACCTCACAACCAAGGATCTAAAACCCTCTTCTGGTCTCTGCAGAAGCCTTCCTGCATGAGAATAAAAATCGATCTAATAAAGAAAAGAAGCACTGAATTAAACAGATTTCATTTCTTTTTCTCAAGACTAATCAGGACTGTTAGTGTCTAGTGAGATGGAATATCAAAAAGGAAGAGAGATCCTACAGCACTTCTAAAGCTAACTGCCCACAGGAGCACCTATCCTCCCTTCACTGTCCAGAGAAGGATAGCATCTCCCACGTCACTGCCTGACAAATGCAGGAAGTGCAAGTTCACATCTAAATACACACTTCATTAGAAGTGACAGAAAAAACCCATGGACCCTGAAGAGAAATAAAGAAGAATTCATTACCATGTGATCGTTGTCTCCATAACATTCCCTCTGTAGCACTTCCAAAAGATTCAGAGCCATCTGCTGCCTAGAGGGACCTTCCTCACCCATGGCCAAACAGTCTTCTAAGGCAGTGGAAGACAGGATCTGCAGAAGAGGCACCATGAGCAGCAAGGATGCCTTTGGGATTTTCTGACCTTCAGCAACAGAGAGGAGCTTCAAAGCTAACCACAAAACAGGAGATCACAATTTTTGTTAAATTAACATCAGTCAAACAAAATGCTATTTTATCAATGAAATAGAGTTTTTCTTGCCCTTTTCCAACCAGTTCAGATACAACTAGGATGATAAGTTACAGTAAAAATAAATAACAGTAACATAAAAACTAATTGTGTCTCTTTTACAACTACTGATATTTGTAACAGAAGAATAAGGATACTTTTAGGTACAACGTATTATGCATCAAAAGGTATATATAAATAAACTACATTTTTTGATCACTGTGAATTTTAGTACTATTAAACATTTGTACATTATAACATTTCAGCTCCTACTCACAAACAACCAAGGAGCCATAAGTCTCTATTAGTGGATAATGAGGACAGCACACATGCTTCCTCAACAAATTAGCCAAAAGTCATATTAGCAGAAGCTTGAGTGAACATCAAGGTAAAGCATAGTTGACTGCCAGCTAGACTACTCAGAACAGGATCACCAAGGTCCCACAGCACACGCCCACAAAAATCCTTTTGCAGTAAGCAGGTTCTTTTCATGGGAACTCAGCCTCCACATCAGAGGCAGAATACAGAAGTGCAGTGCGTTAGCCATGCACCAGGATCCCCCAGAGCCTAACTACAGAATGAGTTAGGCTATAAGTAGACCTTTTTTTACTATATTTTTAAGGTTACTGAATAAACTGTGATTTACTTAAAGATGTTATTCATAAGCTTCAGAGCCAAACTATCAAAGTAATCAAGTAATTTCCACACTACACTAAAAAAAGAAAGAAAAATTCTCTGGACACTATATCATGTCAGTACGTTGTCAGTATTTTGTTAAATCACTTGGAAGTCAAACCCTAACATGAACTGAAGTACAAACACATGTTACTATAACATTATTTTCCCTTAATGTTGGCCTTAATCCATAGTGTTATTGAAGAAAATATAAGTATCTATTATCTTTTTTAAAAGAAGGAAACACATAACACACATATTATAATTTGTCCAGATATTTTTATAAGCTATTATTTATAAAAGTCTACTGGTAGGAAGTATAATGTATTTTATATTAATACTTGATTTTGGATTTGAAATGATTGACATTCTCTTGATTATCTATTACTTTGAAAACTAAGTAGTTCCCCAATATACTAAACAGTTTTAGATGACAGTCTCAACAATTTTCAATGTGGTTTACTCCCTTAACCAGGATAACCTCAAAATAGGCATTGGTTTACAAGAGAAAGAAAATTCTGCCAGCTAACAGCTGCTCAAAGCATTTGCTTGGTCCTGTGTCATTTTTCTATTGTGCATGAGTCAAAACATATATTTGAAACTTCAGAATTAGAAAGACAACTTCCATAGGGCTTTGGAAATTTTTCATCAATAAAACAAATACAAACTATTTATATAAAAAGTCAAATTTACAAGCACAAAAGACAGTAGGGCCATTGAGGTGGGTCAATAGATAAAGTGCTTGCCTGCGAACCCTAATGACCTGAGTTCCACCCCTGGAACAGTAAAGGTGAAAGGTGAGAATGCCCTCTGTCATCTGCCCTCTACATGCATGTGATGCCCTGTGTGTGTGTGCGCGCGCATACAATAATAATGATAAATATTTTATGTTGGTTATTTTTTTACTTTATATGTATGAGTGTTTTGCTTGCACTTATGTCTATGCACAACATGCATGCAGTGCCCACAAAGGTCAGAAGAGGGCACAGGATCCCCAGGAACTAGTTACAGATAATTGTTAGGTCACCAGGTGAGTGACAGGAACCAAACCCAGGTCTTCTAGAAGATCAGCTAGTGCTCTTACTATCATCCCCAAAGCATATTTTTTTCAGACTGAGTAATGTTTTCTCTCAGGCTGCAATTGGAAATTGTTATTAACACCATGAAGCACAAGAAATTCAGGGGACAGTGGTGATAGAAAAATTCTGAAACTAGTTTGTATTCCTGACTATACAGGCCAATAAATTTTAAAATGCTTCACTGTACACTTTCAATGGCAAATCTCTTGGTATGCAAATTATCAGAGTAAGACTTTGTAAAAGCAGCAGAAGTAGCAGCCTGGTACGCACTGCTTCCAGGGAAATGCCATGTGCACTGCTGGAGAGAGAAGGAAAAGCTGATCCAAAGGGCACCAGCAAAGAGCAGACAACAAAAACGGGACAAAAGCGGTTTAAGAGACCAGGTGTCCTTCACGTACTGAGGCCACTGTGAAACAATTTACTCTTAAGATGCTGACAAAACAATGTCCCAGAGAAGATAGAGCAGAAAGTTATCTAAGATACTTTAAAGTAATTTGCACTCCCTTATTACCACATACTTGATATCAGACCAAGCAAAGTTAGAAAACATAAGAAAAACAGCACAATTTAAAGATATCTCATATTGACCCATCAGTGAGAGTGAAAAACTTGACTCTTTCACTCTTCCTAACTAGCACGTTTGGTTTCCCTCTCTACTGCCTTCACTTTCCTTTAAATTGTTAGACAACCAAAGGAGCATCATCATTCATCTGACCAAAGTCAAAAAAATTAACTTGTTCAGTATAGTATCAATTATAAATAAGTCTTCTTTGCAGTGTATTTACGTGTTTGGTTGTGTGTGTGTGTGTTTGTATCAGTGTGTGTGTGTGTATGTGTGTGTGTGTATGTAGAAGTCAACGGCCAACACAGGGAATCAGTTCTCTCCTTCCACCATGTGGTTTCGGGGATTGAACTCAACCTGTCAGGTACGACAGCAAGTGCCTTTATGCAGAGAGCCATCTCTCTGCACAAAATAGAATCTTAAAACAAAAACAACCTGCCAAGCACTTCATTGCTTACAAGGGTCTTATATATTATTCTCATTTTGATACATGACTATGAATAAAGAAAATGCTAACAAATACATTTTAAATGGCATTGTACTATCACTTATACCACAACAAGGTGCATGAAAAGCTGAGCAAATGATGAGAGATGGAAGCATGCATAGGCTAGCACTGGGGAAAGAAAACTAACCTATTTGGTGGCAATTAGAAAACAACCCAGACTAGATAGAAATATGCAGAAGAGCACCTGCCAACACTTATATTTACATTGTTGTCTAGAGAGTCTACTTTTATTTACCTAGGTTTAATATTGGCTTCTGTTGACTTGCTGGAGTCTGCAGAAGTAAAAAAGCAGTTCCAATAATGACAAATTTGACAGGAAAATCCTAAAAATATAAAAGAACAAAAAAGTTTATTGAAGAGGATCCAGGAACTGTGGCTCTACATGTATACAAGGAAAGTGATTCTGTGAGCAGTTGGTGAACACTGTGCAGGGTGTCTCACAAAGTCTGCCCTACTGAAGAAATACTGGCAAATACCACACAGTGTAGGTTAAATGTTCAATCAGTGTCTAAAAAAAAAAAAAATTAAACCAAGATAATTCCAAGAGAAAAACTTTAGTTTTCAGTTTACTCTTTCCTGCTTTGTCTGTTTGTTTGGTTGGTTTTGTTAAAGAAGAAAACTTTCTACTGCAAATCTTCAGAGGAGCGAGTCCTCATGAGTCACCATAACAGCATGAAATGGTGGACTTAGGAATATTATATTAGGAAAAATTAATTAAAGTTTTATACTTACCTAACATTAGCTATCTGTATAACTTATAAAATAAATCACATGAAGTCTAATTTAATAAACTATGTCATAAAAAAGAAATATTAATGTGAAGGAAGTAGAGATTGTACTATAAAAACAAAGTAGTTCTGTGAAGAGGTAAGAATTGTCAGTTATCAAACATACTTAACTGAAACGAAGAAATAACCATGTAATATAAAATCATTAACTATAGCAAGGATATGAGTAAAGTGAAGAAGACATGTGCAATAAGTTCTAATTAAGATGACAGAAGATAAAAACAAGAACGATAAGGTAACTTCAGTCCATCCAGAAATTTTACAGAAGAGCCTACAGAGTCAAATAGTGAGAATGAAGACAGAAAAAAAAAAAAGAGAGAGAGAGAGAGAGGAAAAAATGGAGGAACAGACATGTGACAGAGCCAGGAAAAAAGAAAACCAGATGAGGGAAAACAATTGTAGCAGATCCAGCAGAAGAGAAACTCTGTAACTCTGTGTGGGACCCTATCAACTCTGGCAGAGATCAATAACCCCTTCGATCTCACCTTTCCCACCACAAGAATGAAGCTTAACTATAAAATCTAAATCCCTGCTTCGTGGGCTTTAAAAACAAAACATCAAAAGAAACTAATTCAACTTTGTAAATAAAACATGCCAATTTGTGTCTTTTGTAATTATTTATGTTCAGTGCTTTGAAATATAGTTGAAAATCAAGGAAGAAAATAATGCATATTATCAGAGGACAATAATCACTTTTGAATCCAATATATTCACAATGTACATCATCATACCATTTTCTACCTTATTTCCCTTAATTTCTCTATGTCCACATAAAACAGAAAGGTAGCAAAATTTACTTTTCAAATTTTGAAATTTCCAAGAGGTTCATAGACAAAGTACACGCATGCCTTAGCTGAACTATTATGTGATTATTTGGGTCGGGACAGCAGCCGTCTCCTTTTACAAAATGGCACCATGAGACCTAAAAAAGCTTAAGGGGGAAAAAAAACACAGGGCTTCTAGACCCACAAAAATGGGAGCCAAACTGGCTAGGCTACCAAAGCCGGAACATGAAGTAGAATCAAAACCCCATACCATTGTCCTTGTCTTCTCAGCAGCCCTCATTGTTCGCCATGATCAGAGAGTCCGGTTTTATCCCATGCTTTTTCAGTCGTGGACGGAGGGGGTAGGACCTTGGACTTTCCACAGGGCAGGGAACCCTGGCTGCTCTTTGGACTGGAGAGGGAGGGGGAGAGGAGTAGGGGGAGGGGGATAAGGGTGGGAGGAGGGGGAGGGAAATGGGAGGCTGGGAGGAGGCGGAAACCTTTTTTCCCCCTTTCTCAATAAAAAAATAAAAAAATTAAAAAAAAATGGGAGCCAAATGCAGCCTCTTGGCAGCCACTGTGTCTTTCAGATAAGCTCTCTTTGCTGGTGGCAAGCAGAGGCAAGGCTCCTTTAAGAGAAGGCTTCTTGACTCACCATTAGTAGCAAAAACTGTGCAGCATCTTTGAGAGACAACTTCCTAGTCCCTGCTGGCAGAACCATTAGCTCTGGCTTTTTCAGGAGGCCGAGCAATTAAATGGAGTCTGTGAGCAGCATATTGCAAATTGTTTAATGACATATATAGGCACACTGCATCCCTAGAGCTGGGGCTCAAAAAGAAATATTATAACTGTAATTCATGCTTGATATCTGCTTTGTAATTTTTGTAATATGTAATTTTGCTATGTTAAAGTTAAAACTTCCTTTTTAATTAGGCAGAAAAGGGGAGATGATGTGAAATACCCTTTTGTACATATGTTGCTTTTATTGGTTGATAAATAAAGCTGTTTTGGCCAGTGGTTTAGCAGAGTAAGCCAGGCAAGAAATCCAAGCAGAGATAAAGAGAGAGAGTAGGTGGAGTCAAGGAGATGCCATGTAGCTGCCAAAGGAAAAAGATGCTGGAATCATTTACTGATAGGCCAACACCATGTGGTGATACACAGATTAATAGAAATGGGTTAATTTAAGATGTAAGAGGTAGCTAGGAATACGCCTAAGCTATCAGACAAGCGTGTTATAATTAATAAAGTTTCTGTGTGATTATTTGAGTCTGGGCAGCCAGGAAACAAATGAGCCATCATCTTGGTTGACAGTTGAATGCCTCTTTCATACAGCTGTCATTGAAAAGGGGGACGGGGGAAGTATGTTAAGTTTAAAACCAAAATTGAAGCTCTTCAATGGCTAGAACTTAAAGATGAGTCATCATAAATGAAAGAGACCTTCTCTGGGATACATGAGACTCAGCCACACAAAATAGAAGACAATGTGAAAAGAGTGATAGATTTGGAATACCAAAAATGTAGTGAAAGTGAATGACACAGAAGTAAAGGAAGTAAATTTTAAGTTGCTTTACAAGTTTTTGTTTGTTTGATAGACACTAGAACATAACAATATGTATTAAGCTCTTGATTTTTTTAATTTATTATTTGAGCATTTCATATATATATTTGAAATATATATCCCTAATATACATATAAGAATATATATTATATATAGGATATATATAGGATATATATATCCCTAATAAAATAAGATCATATCCATCCCCGATTTATCCCCTCCTCCTTCTGCGGACTACCCTCCTCACAAAATGTCAACTCTCCAGCTTCATGCCCTCTTCTTTCCTCTCTTTTTTAATAAACCCACTAATTTCTCTTAGTGCTGCCCATATGTGCATGAATGTAGGGGCATCCATTGGAACACGGATCAGTTCTCATGCCTCTTCCACTAACTGTAACTCCTTCTGTCATAACACAAACATGTTCTGCACAGCATCAACCTGAACATTTTCCCATATGCCACACAACACAACTCTTCACTTTCTGCCCCCAAACTGCAAGGTCTAGAAGTTCAAGCCCCACAGGGGAAAGCTTCAAACTGGCAAGAGGTTCTTGTGGGCATACGGTTACTCACTGTCCTGGATTCTACTTCATAGTCTGAAACATTCCACAAGGCTTCAGAAAAGTCCAGGGAATGAAGCAACTGGTTGCTTATAGAAATAGTCATATTGCCATATTTCTCCCAGCTCCACCTTCCCAGCCTGCTTTCTGGGATCACATTTGTAAATGAATTTATACATCTTTTGCTTCTGCAAGAACATAGGCTCCACCTTAGCCTTTAGAAAAACTCAGTCTAACATACAGCCTGGCTACAGAAAGCAGGAGGAGTTAATCCCTTCATAACTAGCTACAGGTGTCATAGGATTCTTAACAACAGAAAATATTTGGGATCACACTTTTGGTCCTCAATTCAAACAAAAGATGAAAATGAACATTACCCATGTGGTATGCACTAATAACATATGCTGGCCTGGTGATGCTATGGTTAACAAGATAGTCCCTCTTCTCAAGAATTTTACAAACTTACACATGGATGTGTCTTTTAAAAGAAACTGAAAGCAGATGTAACAGAGTTTGCCTCCTGCAGAGGACACAAAGGAGAAGGTGATGCTGCTCACACAGTCCCCAAGAACCACAGCTTCACTTCAGCCCCTGTCCTCTGCAGGGAGCTCCGCCAGCTATGCCCACAGATCATCCTTCCTCGGAATTCTTCAGCTGACTCATGCAGCACAGAACGGCGAAGTGAGTCATCTGGTGACAGTTTCACAGAAACGGCCAGTCCCTAACCTCTGTAAAGCTACCATGTTTAGTCTGCTCTACGCTTGGAGAACTTACCCAGCTTAACCTAAATTGATATTTTTGCTTAATTTTGTTGACAGAAGTAAAACATTTGGCTTGAAATGAAAGACAAACATCTGACCTGGAAGGTGAATGGCTCACCTAAGGCCAAACCTAGCAAACCACAGTCTGAGAAACAGGCCTAAAGAGTGTGAGGACCCTTGTCCCACACAAAAGTGGAAAGAACACAGCCAAGAGAAAAGGTTCACTAATATTTAAACCGAATATCCAGCAGATGAACTCAGCAGAATGATGATGGATGACAGCCTTAAAATACATAAGAAGGCTACTTTATTGTCCTTCAAATCAATATTAATCTAGGCATTAAAGGTTCTCAAATTAATTTTCAACATTTTTTAACCTCAGGAACATTAGCATAAAAGATAAGCAACAAAAAACTTTATAACAAAACATATGCACATAGTATATTTGATTTTTTTTTTTGACACAGGATCTCACTAGGTTGCTCTGGTTGGTCTGGAGCTCAGTATGTAGACCAGGCTGGCCTCCAACTCACAGAGATCCACCTGCCTCTGCCTTCTGAGTGCTGGGTTTAAAGGTGTGCGCCACCATACTTAGGTTTTGTTTTGAGGTATGATATCTCATTCTATAGGCTAGAGGGGTCTAGTCCTCACTATCTCAGCTTGGCTCCAAAATTATAGCCATTCTCCTGCCTCAGTCACCCATGTGGTAGGATTACAGGTATGAGTCATCACACTTGGTTCCCATTATCCTGTAAATAAGCGTCTATAAAAATATTTATCTTATTCTATTAGAACTGCTTGTTTACATGTTTACATCCTGAGATCACAGAAAACGTGTAGGTTCTCGAATATACCACTTGTTTAATATTTATATTTCATATGAATAAGCAGGAATGAGGCAGACCTTCAGTGATAACATAAGATTATGTAATAATTCATTTTATAATAAATCTCTGCAGAACTACAATCTAATAGTATAAGATCAAATCACCTCAAACATATAATAAACTACATAAACATAACTACCCAGTTTCTCGAAGATTTTATAAGGTGATAATTAGAACAGTGAAGGTTTATGTTCGCCTTACCTCCCCAAGAAGTTCAAGGCTGCGATCTAAAAGTTGAATAAGAGATGAGCATTCCCCGGTTATCTTTAAACTGACTTCACAGATACACAGCAGTTGAAGGGTGAGTTGGGTAAGCTGACTTTTCCAGAACACAGGATGGCGCAGAAGACTTAGATACAGCTCCTCAATAAACAGCATCGTCTCTGTTGTCTGGGTCAGATCTTTCATCTGTTGAAGGAACTCATACTGGTCAAAATTACAGACTAACTTCAAGCTATATAAGAAGTGTTCAACAGAATAACTTTCTCTGAATCTATGAAAATTTGAAGGAGGTGCAGTTATGTGCTGCCAGTGCTCCCCTCCACAGCTCTGCCTCCTCCCTTGGTCACCATCCACTGTACACCTCTTACTGCCTCTGCTGCTCTTATCTCACACAATTCCACCGTTGATTGCTCTGCCACTAAGGGAGGATTCAAACCCAAATTACTTCTATTTCTCTAGCTTTTTTGAAAAAAAAAAAAAGATACCCTAGACAAATGATATGCAGTGCCTATATGCCAAAGAACATCACCTCAAAGCTGGTTTTCGGCTCTCCTACAGTGTAACACAGACACCCGGTCGTAGGGCTACTATGTTATCAACACTCACTAAGCTCTCCTTCTACAAGCCTTAGTTGAAGCATCATTGAGCACAGCGGAGAATGTAATAAACGACCATGTTTAAATGGCAGTGTCATCTCGACAGGCTAACACACTAAACAGGGAGGACTTGGGGGCCCTTGAAAATCCCAATTCAATTTACACCCTGCTGTTCTGTTCAAAGTTCTGGAGTTAGTATTAAGGGTGTGGTCCTACTCATAGCAACCATGTTATCTCCCAGGGATTATAAACAATGAACCATCTGCTTCAGTCAGGATGCTTGTGTGTGCTAAGTTCATCAAGAGAAGAGCCTGCAGTTCCACCACTGCTTACCATCCATTAGAAAAAGAGGCATCAATACAAGTTATACACAAATAGAGCTCCTAGAAAATCAGAAAGATTCCAAAGGATGAAGGGAAAAGAAAGAACACACTCACAGAATAATAATTTAAAAATAAAATATCAACAGTCCAATAGCTATATTATTTTGATGTCTTTTAATTAATTATGTATTTATTTATTGGGTGTGCAGGTGTACAAGCATGCAACATGATGCCCGTGTAGAAGTCACAGGACAACCTGCAGGATCTGGTTCTCTCCTTCGGCTACGTGGATTCCAGAAATCACACTCAGGTCAGCACGCTTGGTGGCAAATGCTTTTCCCTGATGAACCATCTCACTGACCCTATTCTGTTCTTCTGTAAACATAAAGCAAAAAAGTTCAAAGGGTACTTACAAAGAGAAGGACTAAATACAAAAGCCTGGGTATTCATAAGGTGGTTTATTTCCTTGAGTATATTTATTGTGTATACTGGAAATTTTCCATTAAAATAATAATCGCAATAGATTAGCTCTAAAAGTTCTCTGATCTACCATTATCAAATTCTTAAGAATAAATTCAAAGTAATGTTCTGTCTCTATGTAAAAATAGATGACATAGCACGGATAAATATAAATATAAAAACCAGTTGCACAAACATAAAATGGAAAAGCAACCAGTTGAGAAGGATGCTAAGCAGATGTCTCAATGACCCCTCTCATCCTAAACCAGCAGGAATGGGGATAGGGCTATTTCTCAAAACATAGCAGTAACTTCAGTGTGCTTCCTTCCTGGTGTCCAGTATGGACTGGGCTACACCCATAACAGTGCATTCACCTCTAAGAAGAGCATTTCTTACAAGCACATCCCATGCACCTACTGGTATACTAGAGCAATGGATAGTGAAAATTTCAGAAGCCATTTCATGGGAAGAAGTGGTTTTTGTTGTCAGTTGTTTGTAATGATGACCAAACAGAACAGAGGGAGACAGGCAAGAAAGATAGGAAGAGAAAGAGAAAGCCAACAAGACTAAACACAGGTTTAAAGCTTGTGTTTTACTATAGGAAGAAGAGAAGACCAGTGGGCAACTGTTTAATGAAGATCAATAGAAGTACTTGAAAACAGTGTACTCCTCCAGAGTATATTCATTAGCTGGGGTGGTTATTGTGTAAAGACTATAAAAATACTTCCACAAGTGGAGAACTACCTTAGAGAGCCTCTGTGACTCCTGTTCCTCATTCTTGCTCTTAATAAAACAAATTTGTTACATGACTTTTTTCTCACATGTCTCAGTGACAATAAAAAGACAGGGCCTTCCAAAACCATTCCATAGTGTGCTCCTACAAGCACCTAAGCTTTCCACGAAGAAAGCAAACATTTAGCAAACCGCACAGAACATGGTAATAAAGACATGGTTGGAAAAGTGCCCCAGTTGAAGACCTTCTGCCTATATATGCTTTATTACCCACGCAAAACAAAAGCTTTGGAGAAGCCGCTGGAGGATTCATTTTAATTAACTTTTCTCTGCCTTGATTACAGAAAAGCACATTTATGACTCACAGAGGGAAGATTCGCTCTAGCCACTCCTTGCTAACAGACTTAAAACAGGTCATCTGTGACCCACAGTGATCACTCTGAAATACATCCTCAGATTCTTTCCATCGGCTGAGCAGCATGGCGCTCAGATCCCCACTAATGGCCTGACCTTGATCATGGAAGGGGACAGCCTGACAAACGAGCCACGACACTAAAATCACAGCACACTGGCAACTGCGTGCTTCGAAATCTGCAGTCATAGAGATAGCAACTAAAATCTCTCTCTCCCTTCAACTCCCTTACCACTTTACTGCTAACTCGTTACCTGGATCATCCGTCCGTAAGGAATTAGGTATTAGAAGTGACATCCTAACTCATTTCTTACACTGCGGGTTTCTAAAAAGCAAAAGACATCAATGGAACCTAAAGGGACAGGTGGACACTCAGCAGGCCAAGTTCTGCATTCAGAACAGACCTACATACAGACATGCTTTTTGCTTAATTTGCACAGAGGTGTTTCATTTTGTTCTATTGTTTTCCTCCTACCTCTTAGCATCCAGTATGAAGAGAAGCTAAAAAATCCCCTTTCCTGATGAGTCTTAAAGGAATCTTCATTGCTACTAATGCCAAAAGGGACAGGATTGATTTATACTTCGGTGAATTTAACACAGTTACTACGGTATGTATTATTAGATCTGAAATTTATTCCTTTGTAGTCTTAAGACAGTGCCAGCATTTCTAGACAGGCTTGTCCAACCACATAGGCTCAAGAACTACCTTGTGTGAATGACAACTTCCTGGCGCTGATAATCCCATTAGGAAGGAAAACGAATGGTGAAGAGCCTTACCTGCAAGCACGGGACCATGTCACAGCACATCTGAACCATGTGCTGCTCCAGTACCGGAGGTTGAGCTTCACCACAAAGACCTCTGGGTTGAAGTAAGACTTTGAGCAGGGACAGCCGGAGCTTGGCATATTCCTGTGACTGGGATGGATCACAGTAGAGATACCACAGAAATGGTGCCATTATTTGGATACATGAAACTTCTGACCTGCAAGTCATGCAATGTGTCAGTCAGTTACTGAGTTAAATATGCTAATGTTATCAGAAGAAACAGTTCTTCCCTCAAGGGAATAAAAGACAAGGTTTACTCTGGAGCAAAATCCGAGTGATCATGACCCAGAAACGTACATTTAGGTCTCCCAAGTAAAAGTCTCCAAGGTCCAATAGGGAAATATTTTCATAGAGTTTGTATAATAATGAAACAAGAAAGTTAAAAATCAAGTCATTTTTTAAATACTCTGGTGCAAACATCAGAGAGGCTATTAAGCAAGATGGAGGAATCTCTCCTTTAGGCCTCAGATGCTATGGGGATGTGCATAGCTTTGGGGATAGTGGAAGCCAGAGGACTGCTATGTTAATAAATTCCAAAAGGTTTTTGTCTGTCACAAGATGTTAGGACCAAAACAGACGTGGACAAAGAATGGCTATTCATGGGGATAAAACTAGTCCAAAATTGTAACCAGACTCTGGCCTCTGTAATTAGACTCCCCACATCACTAAAGCTATAAACAGGCAATCAGTCTTTCCAGACATAGTTTCTTTCCAGGAATTCTCCTTCACACTATCAAGCACTAAGTGGCACATATCAGCTTGTGGTACACCATAAATACCCTAGCATCAAGTAGCTTTGAAAATACCGTGACCTAATGGGATCTTGAAGGGAATGACTCAAGAGAAGGAGGCACGAAGCAAGATTCCCAGGACTAAAGGACACTTCTCCTACTTTACAATGGTGGCACCCCTCCAAAACCAGTCTATGGTGAATATCAGAACCATCTAAAAACATTTATTAGAATTACAGATATCAGGATCTATTCCCCAGGGGTATCTCACTGGCACGCATTTGTAAGAAAACTTTGTAGATAAGATATATATATATATATATATATATATATAATCTCCATACAACCATCCGATTATTGTGACAGTTCAAATTTATAGTACTCCATGCTTTTCTTTTCCATAATTTTAATTACTGTCAGTCAAGCACAACCAGAAAATATTTAACGAAAAGTTCCATAAGTAAACAACTGCAAAGTTTAAGTTGTGCGTGTGCTGAGTAGCATGAGAAAGTTCCAAACTGTCCTCTCTGCTCCTCCAGGATGTGGACCAAACACACCATGCAGGATCCTCTAGGCCAGCAGTTCCCTCTGGGGTTGAACAACACTTTCACAGGGGTCACATATCAGCCATCATGTATATGATATATTTACATTATAATTCATAATAGTAGCAAAATTACCGTTATGAAGTAGCAATAAAATAATTTGATGGTGGGGGGTCACACATGAGGAACTATATTAAAGGGTCACAGCATTAAGAAGGTTGAGAACCTTCTTAAGAAGGTTCTAGGCCATCATGAGTCTCTTGGAAGTCATCCTGGTACCAGATCAACTGACATGGCAGTTTCATAATACTGTCTGTGCCCAGGCAACCCTACTTTACTCACCAACAAAGGAGAACAGTGGTTATGGCAGTTTGGAAGTGCCAGAGAGACGCCATAAAGAGCTTTCTTTTATGAACAAGTGATAGCCCTCAACTTAATGAAGAGAAAATAAATCACATGCTAACGTTACTAAGATCTATGATAAATAATTGCTAACCTTTCACTTTTTTTAATAAGAAGCATCTCTGTATTACACAAACTTCACTTTTATCCATCATTTTAGGCATCCACTGGAGGTCTTAATTTTAATATTACACCCACGGATGAGTGGAGCTACTTTATTGTTACCTTGCTAACCTATAGAATATGTAAGTAATTCCACTTTACAGTTCAAACTTCTTTGATCCTTACCAGAGCCATAGACAGACAGACAGATAGATATAGAGTGTGTGTGTGTGTGTGTGTGTGTGTGTGTGTGTGTGTGTGTGATACATAGCTACAGAAACTGAGAGATGAATGAAGCAGTTACCCACAACCTCTTCATAGGAATTTCGAACTCAAAGGAGATTATGGATTGACATAACTTTAATATCTATTTACATTCATTATATTCCAATAACTCTTAAGCTCAAAAGACCATCATACCAGAATGACCTTCAAGGGTAAAATAAACACCTGACCATAACATTAACCAACTTAAAAGTTTGTCCTATGACAAAATGGTAAACTGAATTGCAACACCTACATGGTTCAGCCTCTGCCGATCTTGCCAGCCTCACTCTCCACTGTATCGTTACACTTATTTCAGGGGCCCCACTTATTTCAGGGGGTCACACTGGGCCTCCATCTTGCTGGCCTTTCTACTTCTATCATCCTCCAGTTCTCCACTTTGCAATGACTTCCTGGGGTCCTTTTCCTTCCCTGACATGTGGTCTGTGGTCAGATCACCATTATAGGCTTTCGTGGCACAACATGTAGCATTTATATCCCTTGCCAGACTATAATTCAAATGAGGATACAAGCTATAGGTTTCTGCTTGCTGCTGTATCACCAAGACTGTATGCACCAGGACTTCACAGAAATGGGCAATTAATTAATGTGGTTATATAAAGTTACCGATATTCAAAATTAGCATAAATCAATCAAATACAACTTTATTCTTTTTCACTTTATTCGGTGTTTTCATTTATTATTTGTAAGACGTAATTAACTGTGATACAAAGCTGAACTAAGCACTCTTGTTTTAACATAACTGAAACTGTATTGTTGTGCTTCCTTCATGATAAAATGCTATCTTAAAACTCACCCTAGCTGAATCACTTCTGATTTCCTGCTCTGCATTTCCAGAGTTCCGCGAGGACTCGTTACATCCGGTATGAGGAGATAGTGACATCTCAGTTTATCTGACTTAAGTATCTAGTTTGAGCAATAATTCCTAGCATGGAAAGAACTAGAATGTCTTTACATTTTGACTCCTTCACACGACTGTGAACCACTGCTCCTATTCTTATTACCTTCTAAACAACAAACTGAAGTTACTGCTCCTAATATTCTATCTGATGGTCTACTGAAGAAGTGCAACCAGAATTACCAATTTCATGCTGCAAGGCACAAACACACAGTGCAAATTTAGAACTGAAATTACCCTTTGTAGGGACAAGCATGGTAGCACATGGATTTAATCCCAGCACTCAGGAAATAGAGACAAGCAGATTTCTGAGTTCAATGCCAACCTGATCTACACATTGAAGTTCAGGCTAGCCAAGTTACATAGTACACTATCTCAATGGGAGGGGGGATGTTAAAACAAACATAAAACAATTTAAAACTTCTATATGGCTCAAAGAAATTTCACTAAGTAAATTCACTTTAAAATTTATCTGGGTTTTTACTTCTGACAGAGTTGAAGAAAGATTCATCTAGAAACTATTAATAAATCTATGAAAAAAATATTTAAGGTGACGGTGGCAATTTGAGCCACCTTCTTGTAGCTGATTACAAGGTGCTGAAGTCTGAAGGTTTCTATGGTAAGAAAATCTTCAACCCATTCATGGATTTTGTTCACAAAAAAATTGAGATGTATAGGGCACCTACAAATGTCCTGGGCATTATGAAAAAGGGCAATAGAACTGGATCACTATCCTCCAAAAGGTTTTAAAGCTCACAGCAGGGAATAAGACTGAAAGTAAGTTTAATGACGTTACCGATCACACTGCAAGTTGTGGCGGGAACACAAAAGAGAGACAGCTCATCATTTGCAATAACCAAAGATGAAGAACAAGATGCAAAGGAGTACTGACAATAGAGAGCTTAGTCAGGGAATTGGATAAAATCCAACAAAGGCAGATTTAATAACAGCTATTCTCCACTGGACAGTTCAACAACCAATCCGCCTGGCAGATCGTGTTCCCTTACTGCCAAAGGAAAAGAGCTCGCATGGCCGCCTCTAGAACATTTGCTCTTCAGAGTCACAGCAGCTAAAACAAGAACAACACACAGCGCCGGCTCTAAACTTAGCACACGCCATTCTGTATCCTTCGTTTATTTCATTTCATGTTACCTTTCAGGGCATTGCTGGAAGAAGGCAGTCAGCTGCTGCAGGAGCAGTGGCCAGCAATCAGGCCTGTGTTCAAGCACGGTGATCAAAGGCTGCGGGTGAGTTCTGGGAAACACAGGAAATCACGTTATTAACTGTCTTCTCGGGAGCAGAAATTCTATTCAAATACAGCAGAAAAAGAAAAAAGAAAACAAACAATGCCAGCTACAGACATTTTCCAGGACCCCTAATCCACAGAGCTATCGCTCCCTGAATTAAGGAAGTGCTTCATGACCACTGACTTGTCCCCGTTTGATCTAATTCTTCTGCTGAAAAGAAGATGGATCCAGAATCTCGGAGGTCTAAATTTAAGAACGGATCCTAAAACATAACTGTCTGTAACTTCGGTTCCAGGGGACCTGGCACCCAAACACGGACAAACATGTAAGTAAAACACCAATGGGCACGAAATAAAAAAATTTTTCAAAGGAAAAGGAAATCAGCTCCTTGCTCCTTAGCCCCCTAAGAGCTAGCACATCTCCTTAAACCTCACCCTTATTCTCCTCCCCATCTCTCTCCCACCCCCACAAGAGAACTACTGCAGATCAAGGTCTCCTCCAAAATGTATTCAAATTAAATCAGGTCAACAGAAATAAACGGCAGTCGTTTAAAAATAGGAGAAATAACACACATGCAAGCAGCTATGATCCTGACCCAGCCAGACTGCACGGAACCATTCACCCTGCTGCAGGACACGGAGGGCATGTTTCACCCGCTATCGGATTTGGCCCATTCCACTTAGCATCACAGACTTAATCTTTAAAAACTAGATTAAGTAGAATATACTAGAATAAAGGTCCAAATTAATTACTAATTTAGACCTCTAGATAATTAACTTGTCCAGACAACTGATTATGTCCACTCTAAATGACAATATTGTAAAGAATAATGTACAATATTGATTACGAGAGGCTGATAATCTTGAAAGAAGTGACACAAATAATGAAAACATTGGCTCTTGTTGTTGATTAGTATTTGATTACTAATATCAAACTATTTCAAATGAACACAAATAACCCAAAATCAATTATAATTGCCAAATTTTGTTTCTATACTTTAAGCCTAATGAAGCAGAGATCTAAATTCTCCCTCGTGAATCATCAAATTGATATGTGAATACACATAAAAATAATACAGAAAGCCTTGCACCCAAGTAATAGAATGTATATATTTCTTAATTCAACAAGGTGCACAGCTATCGTGATTAGAGTGGCTTATTCTTAGCACTGCTGGCACGTGGGACAGACAGTCCTCGCTGGGATGCTGTCCTGTGCCCCTCAGCCTGCTCAGCAGCAACCTAGCCTCCCCCCACACACACCAAATGCTCTTGTACTCCCTCCAGGTACTAACAATCAAAAGCGCCTTCAGACTATGTGATGTCCCTGTTGGGGTAAAACTGTCTCTGGTTCAGAACCACTGGTGGAAGCCCACTGCTTGAACTGGAATGGGAAGCACAAAGCTGAACAGAAAGTGGCACCAGGCTCCGTCTTACCCAGAACTAAAAGTAATCAATCATGACCAAAGCCAAAGTTTACATTTCTTATGGAAATGTACTTAACAAAACTTAGCATTGGATGCACAAGAGAAATTAAAAGGTTTAAAATGTAAAAAAAAAATGTAAAATTATTCCTTTAAAAAATAAGGCTCATTCTAAAATAAACATCATTAGAGAATATAGATGCTAATTTGAGTATGACAGAAAATGAAGTTATTATCCTATCAAAAATATTATAATTAGAGGATGTAAAATGTCATAAGACTGAGTACAGTTCCTTCTTGATGTATTCAAGATTTGATTATTAAATTTACGGATTATTCAAGATTTTTCTTTCTTCCTTTCACTTGCATTTGTTAGCCATTCAGCTTCTTTAAAATGTATCCAAATGCGAATGTTCAAGTCATTTGAAAAGACACACAATTTAAACTCTGAAATTTTAGGTTGGAAGTACTATTGAGAGAGGGGGAATGAGAGAGAGAGGAGTGTGCCTCAAGATTCAATCATTTATCTACACCTCCCTACTAGTTATTGGTCAATGAGGCCCCAATGGCCCCCCAAAAGAAAAGGACACAGCTATTGATATAGCTCACCAGAATAAGATGGTAAAACCCTATTGCTGAAGACATAACACACGCTCCTTGCAGGACCTAGTGGGATCAAGCTGAAATTGATGGGAAAACTGCCTGCCCGATAGCTAGTTCTAGTAGTGCCAGCAGGGGTATGCAAACTGCGGGATTACAAGAAATGACAATGCTATGATCCAACAGAGAACTTTTCATGCTACAATATAGACCTGCCAGGCAAAATATGCCCAAAAGGCTTTGGGGGATAACCAATTGCTACTGGGTTATATTTGAGGCTTATTTCACGGGAGAGAATTTATGCCTAGCACTATAAATCTGGTCAAAGGCCCATGGTTCAGAGAGTCAAAGATCCTAAGCAAGAACCTATTACTATTATCTTTCTAAGCCCAACAAGTTGCCGAACTACCTTCTAAATATTTATGTTTGTACATACAGTTTAGTGCTGTCCTCAACTTTGGCCAAGGGAGTTTCTCTCTGTGGTGGTCAGCAGTTAATAGAGACTCAACTGGTCAAGGTAACTACCATTTAAAGAAGTAACTACCGGGTGCTCAGCTCTAAATTAGACATCTAGATCAATACCTGACCCATGAAGGGGGAAAAGAAGGAATTTAAGAGCTGGAAGATAAAGAGGAATGTTGTGAAATGTCTTCTGCCAGAACATGGTCCCTGCTTCATGAATCCACTACAGCTATGATTGTCTGCACAAGATGAAGCCACAAGGTCACCACTAATTGGACTCGGTGAGTTATGAGGTTTAGGAAGGAAGGGAGGGAGGGAAGAAAGGGAGGGAGGGAAGAAAGGGAGGGAAAAGGAAGTGGGAATAGTGATGGCTTGGGGTGGCAGAGAGGAATAGGAAGGATTACAGATGGGTATGATCAGGACACACTGTTTGGATGTAGGAAATAAAAAAAATAAAAGGTTTTCAAAGAGAGGGAGAGAGAGCACATGCACTGAGCACAGGTATCTGTCTACCTTCTGACTACGGCAGCCTCACGGTGCTTCCTGCTATCATGAGATCTCTATCATCATGAGCTGGAACTGGAACTCTGAACCAAAATAAACCCTCTTTCCTTAAAATAAATGATTCATTCATTGGATCATCTTGTCATTAGGTCATCATCACTGTCATCACTGTCGTGGTTTTTCTATAAGTCATAATCACACAGCAGCACCTTTGGACTCTTTTTCTATTACCTAGCCAGATCCCTAATTCAAATAAAACTAAAACTGGAGAGGATGTAGCCGTGGGAACAGAGAGCACAGAATTATCTATTCTAATATATATATATTGAGACAGAGTCTCATGTAGCCAAGACTGGATTCCAACTCCTTACATAGCCTGCTTCGTCCTCCCTAGTGCTGGGATCACAGACATCCACCACCATGCCCAGTTTATGCAGATCAAACCCAGGGCCTATACTTACTAAGCAAGAACTCTAACAATTGAGCTACATGTCCACCTTCAAATTTACATTCTCTGGCAAAGCATGGAATCCCAGGCAAGAGAATTAACCTCTCTTGACCAAAGTTTCCTCATCTGTAAAATGAGCTCAGGCTGCATAACCCATATGAACACTGAATCCTAAGCAGAGGATGCACAGGAGTATATGTGCTGTGGAACAATTTTGTACACTGTAAATATGTGTTACTCTCATTGTCAATAAAGAGCTGACTGGCCTATAGCTGTAGCTGGACAGGAGAGCCAGACTAGGAGGACGCTGGGGAAAAGAAGGGCAGAATCTGAGAATTCATAGATGAGGTAAAAGTTCAGAGCAACAAACACATAGATTAATAAAAATGGGTTCATTTAAATTGTAAGAGATGGCTGGAGACACGCTTAAGCTATCAGCCGAGCATTTATAATTAATAATACGTCTCTGTGTTGTTATTTGGGGAACGGCTGGCAGGATAGAAAAGTCTGTGTACATAAATGCAATGAAATCCTGCACAGGCAGTAAGTCACAAAAATGGTGCTCCAGCAAGTAATTGTATGGAAAGTCTGAATGGTTCTAAGGCCAATGTCTGCTAAACATACGGCCTCATCTATTTTATCTCAGAGAAAAACCATCGTGCATTGTCTGCTTCCAAGGAAAGTAAAGCACTGTGTCCAAAAGGAGAAATGATTAAATCAGAATTTCCTAGCTCCTGAGATAGCCTATAGATCTGCTTTCTCCTTAAAGGAGGATAACATCATTTCTAAAGATTAAAATCAATACAAATAAGACAGCCAGGTCACCCTCCGTTGGCTTCCGGTGCCTGTGAATCTCTTACTGTGACTTGGTTTTTCTTTGGCATGCCACATGAGCCAATTTGTTGAACATTCTTTGGCACTTTCCTTAATTTGTGACATGCAAGCGTTTTGACTGATATTCTAAGTAAAGCATGTAACATAATACCTAACAAACAAAAGAGTCCCATCAATACTAGCCAGGGAAAATTTATGAGTGAGAACAGAGTCAGCCTAAAAGTTGGGTCTCTCTCTTAATCTTTTTTGTTCTCCACTGTGTACAAAATGCACTTCTACAATAAGTGTAGTTACATATACACATACCAAACATGCCCCCCACGTTATCTTTTAAAAACTGAGATTGCTTTATTCATATAGTCACAAATGAAAGAATAAAGTAGATTATGAAAAGTCAGTTTTGTTCCAGAGTCAATGCCAGTCAGAAGCAGAGGACAGAGAGCACAAAGAAGCATGCAGGCGTGGATGTAAATATTCCGTTGCTCCCCACCTTTGACTAGTGTTACTGACAGTGGAGAGGAGTGCATGCATCTGAAATTACGGAGCAGCGGGAAAGAAGGATGATGTATGCAAGGTTCCACCAGACGATCACAGACGCATGATAAAATAAGGTATGCAACCCGTAGTCACCTTTTCAAGAATAAATGCATCAATCTTAATAGAAATGAGAGAATAAAAAAATTAGCTGTGTGGCAGCTAAATCAGGAAGCAAAAGTTATCTATAACCTTTAGGTGACCT